TTCGCGCTAATGCCCACCTGATTGCACCCACATTGTCGCGCTTCACGATGTTGCATCGCCGGAGGTCAGCTTAGTGGCAGTGCCCTCCGATGGGGGGGGGGGGGGGGTTACGCCGGCAGTGCTGTGGAGGAACTGAGGGATTGGTGGGCTACGCGATCGTTTGTGAAACTCACAATTCCACCGGGGCTGCAAGGTGGCTATGATATTCACGGTTCAGCAAATTGATTCTTGAATCTATGGACCTTCAAGCGGTGTCTCCTTATTTGAGTGTTTTCTCGGGGGTATGGTATTTTATTTCATTCTGGCATCAGGGATACCGATATCCAGCAGTGGATGGATCACGGCTCATGATGCTTATGATGACTCTAGTTTTGTCCCACAGGCAAAACGCGAATTAACGAAAACATTGAAATTCAAGACAATACTGAAAAAAGTGGCTTGGCATTCAGTGAGGCTTTCCTGGATGAAGGGCATCATTGTGACCCTATGATTGTACCCAACTAAATATTCCAATTGCTCCAATCTGCACACTTACACGTGCCTGGCTTGCTTGTGCTCCTCGTGTTACTTTTGGATACCAACCAATATCGCAGTTAAACATGAAAAACGAACCAAAACGAGTTGTGGGTGCCTTCGGGGGCAATTTTTTTTTCGTAAAAAGAACATTTATGAGTATCGGAATTAAATTAACGTGTTTCTGGAAAGTCACTCGTATTTCAATTTGCACGGTTGTTTTAGCACGATTACCTTGTATCGATCTGCGACTTGCCTGCCAGTGTTCTACTCATACAATGCATTAGTGCAAAGTGCATTTGTGTTTTAACTCGTGATATCTCTGTTTGTTAATAATTCCACAAATGCTGTTCTTTTTATGTTTATACAATTGTGTAAATATTTGTCGATAACCAAATCACTCAGATTGCAATGTTGGGAAATAAGCAGAGTTGGGCGTTGCAGTGGTGAGATGTTAGCTACCTTGCCTGGTATACAGAAGGTCGTAGGTTCGATCCCAACCCTGACGCCTGCTGTATATTTTGAGTTTGAATGTGTTCCCAGTGGTCGCGTGGCTTTCTCTCCGGGTCCTCCGGGTTTTCCCTCCTAATTTAGAAGCATGAATTGCGGGCATTTGGCTGATATAGATTTAGACATGATAAGCCACTTAATTGGGCTATCATTTGTGGCCAGGTCGCTTCTGAAAAAAAGGCTATATAGCTCAGTGGGCCTTACCTGGTAAAATAAAAATAAGTGTTTAGGTTAATATAATTGAGCCTGTATAGTGCTTGGATGGGTGACCAGCATACCCATCAGGTTGGGACTGGGTAATGTGTTTGTCAGAATAGGCCAATGCAGCAAAATCCATTGTTGCAATATACTTCTGTGCTCCTTGCCTTCACCAGCGCTCATTGACCATCATGGTGAAGTACACAAACTAAACACAAAACGCTCTTCTAAAAAAAAGTATTTTTACCTAGATATTAAAGTGCTGAGCACTAGTGGTTTGCTAATTTCGGAAGGAGGTGCGTTTCAGATGGCCGCAGAAGCGCATCTGAAAGAGCGCGATGCGTTCACCGTTTTTGTTCGATGGCTTAGCCAAAAGCTGCTGTGAGGATGACCGGCGTTAGCGTGATGGTTTATGCTCGTTGACGAGATCAGCAAGGTATTGTGGTTCGTTTGTGGCAAGCACCTGCTAATATCAGTGGAGAAGAATATCATAATAAATAATCAGCTTTAATCTCAACCGGTCCTGGGCCACTCCTTCACCAACCTGCATTGACCAGCGTGATGAAGTGTGGTCAAATAACCCTCGTGACCGACACTGCGTGGGGGGCGACTCCATCAGTGATTTGACAACGGGCTTTAAATTATAATTAGTCATTAATGAGCGGGCTGAGACTGCAAGACGGCACCTTGCACCGGAACCTGTCTTGAAAACTCACTGGTGACCGCCGATTCCAATGCACGTTTTTTATTGGTTCAGGCTCGGTGATCTGGTGTAGCCATTATGAGGCCCCCTGGGTCTCTAAGATATCTGCACCATTTCCATTAAGTGACTTCTGTCATTTATCCGGCAACAATTTAATACCACGTCAAATCTCGAGGGGAAATGGAAATGTGCAACCCCTGGAAATTGCTTGCTCACTCCACTGCTTGTAGAAGGGTCTCCACGAAAGGGAACCCGAGAGAGCCCCCTCTAGAGTGAATTTGGCCTACTCTTCCAAGCTGGCCTGACATCTTGGAAAAGGTGGGAGTACTCATAATTGAACCCACTTTAACCCAAGCGACACACCAAATCTACCGTGGTGTAAACAATTATATTGCTGGGCAGTAGACAGGGGAAGGGGCATTCCAGAAATGTGCCCATTGTCCCAACTGCCACACCGGGAGATCGAATCGGCGACCTAGAGATTGTGCACTCACCACCATATCTCGGGCAATGCCATCTACATGCAATATTTGCGTTTTAGTGCGCCAACGTAATAAATTGCTGCCTTTCGTCGAAGCGATAATACAAAACGAGCATTATGCGTCACCTCCTGAAAGTAAATCTTTCACAAAACGTTCGACAAGATAAATTCTACTCCGCCTTTGTTGTGTGTTTTTTTGGGGGGGGTTGTCATCTGGTGCCATCCAATACATCTCCTATGTAAATATCTGCACCGTGTCAACACAGTCGGCGTGGGATATTTCAGGGGCCCATCATTTTAAGAGGCAGATTTATGCACGTGGTCAATTTCCGCGCAGGTGCAAGCGGGAAATGTCGAGGCATTACAAAAAAATATTCCACCCGTGAAGATTCATTTGTTGGAGAAAAAAAACCTTACCCATAACCTCATTCAATTCTAAATGAATATTCTTTAAAAAAAAACATTACCTTGGGAGGAAAAGCATGTTTAAGGAGTGATATTTATTTTTGGAGACCCAAAGCTTATGTATAAACCTATAAAAAACATACCGAAAGCTTAATTGACTATGATTACTGTAAGGGGGTGGCGAACGTGACCCTGCTGTCTTTTCGTGCTTTTATGTAAAAATTAGACATATGTAGTGAGTTCAACTGAGTCGCAGACGTATACTTGGAGGCAACACATTTATTTAACTCCAACACACGGGGTAATTTCCCCTTAACAGAATAACAACCTATGGTGGTGACCACCAGGCTAACTACACTAATTACAACGTAACTGCTACTACGGACCGGGACCACAACTCGGGTCCAGGTCCACGTGTTGGAGACTCGGTAGAACGTAGGACGTAGACGAAGGTTTCTTGAGGATGAACAACAACGCCGGTCCCTCTGGGGGACCCGGTTTATAGTCTCTGGCTGGCTCTGCCCTTGGCCACGACCACCTTCCAGAATCCTCGGGAAGGATATGGATTCATCTTCTTTGGTTCTTTCGGTAAAGTCACGTAGAATGAGAATAAAATAATGATATAAAACAATACAATTCTCTGGAACTCTGTCGTCCCGACAGTTTTTTGTTCCTTCACCTGAAGAAGGCCGCTTGTGTTGTGGCCGAAACGTCGTGAGAATTTTATTGTTTTATTTTATTCTCATTCTACGCGACTTTACCGAAATAACCAAAGAAGATGAATCCTTGCAGTCACGAAAGCTTTAAATCGAAATTTAAGGATATGGATGCTAACCACGTGACCACCCCTAGTCCCAACTTGGGCCCTTTTGTAGACTCTACTGGTCACGTGTCCTCTCGGGTCAACCAGAGTGCCATGGCCTTTAGTAACCCCATTCCTACGGCCGGCACTCCCACACCCTGTCCTGTAGGGCTGGCACTGCACGCCAAGCGTAGTGCCATCCAGCGCTATCAATTAGCGCTCACCGGGCCCCTCTAGGGCCGGTACTACACCCACACCATTTTGGTGTCCGCGATGTTGCTACATCGCACGCCGTGCCTCTCGGGGGCCGACACTGCACAGTGACATCCAGCGATGTCACTACACATATATATAATGATCAGGAGCAGGACATTCCAGCTTTCTTTCGGCTTTGGCATCACACACTCAACAAAATTATTTGTTTTCAAATTCACACATTGACTTTCAAGACAGAAACTATGAAGCAACAATTGGTCTCCTTCGGGCTCGATCACCGTGTAAGGTGCAATGTGACAACGTTGTAACAGAATTGTCAAAGTCGTTCTTGCTTTCACCATTCCACCAGTTTGTGGGGGTGGGTAGGTGGTGGGGGGACCCAAAAGCAATTGGCGTCAGGTGACAACTTGAGTTGTTTGGCTATGTTAGGTGCTGAAGGGTGCATGGCTTTAATTGACATGATGCCTCCATGCTCTAACCCAAAATAAACCAAGTATGCATCATGAATGACTTGATATTTTAACGGATAAATCGAGGCAGACCCTGGCCTATGAGTGGATCCAATTAACCTGCGGGTCATACCTTTTGGAAGTCCAAATACTAAAATGTTGGTTTTCACATTTAGTTATGATAAAAGACTCGAATATATATGTCCAAATTTCATCTTTAAATACCTTATATAACACCTTTACAGTGTACACCAGCCATGGTGGTATATATGTTTCATATCATTAAACATTTGGTCATCCTCCTCATCTTATGACGGGTTCATATTTGCCAAAAGCCCTCACGGGTCATTGATTAAGAACCTCAGCCTGGAATCGTCACATCTCGAGAAGCTAAGCAGGATTTGGAGGCTGGTTTGCTCCTGCAATGGGTGACAGAGGAGAAAATGGCTTTTCTCTTTGGCGACGTCTCTGTGAACTCAATCTGGTGCCTGGTAATCCTTCACACGCCTCCGGACTGATGAAAGCCATTCCTTTCTATACACCCGCAATGAAATATTAAACCGATCGTACAGCATCGTCTTTAATCTGAACGTGTAATATGTGGAGGAAAGTGCACGGTTGAATTTTTAAAATTCCTCATACTTTATTACTTTTTAAAGGGCAGAGAAAACATCCTGGGCTGGTCTATTTCAGAAAATAACAACAAAAAATACCATCTCTTAATTCTTTCCACAGGTGCCAAAGCTTTATTTTCCTCCCCTCTCTGAAATCCATTAGTCTCACTCCACAGCACAAGCCCGGGCCATAACTGGCGGACGGGGAGAGAGAGAGAGAGTGAAAAAAACTGGAATTCACATCCCCATCGGTCGTCTTCACGATCGTGGTGTATGCCTGCCTCGTTGCTCAGGCTCTCCGCGGGGAGCACTCGATGTATTATTACTACTACTATTATAATTATTGTAATTCCTCTACTCAGGGGGGTGGTGGTGGTGGTGGAGGTCGTCGACTTTGACCTTGGGCAGATACGCTGCGATACCGAGAGGGAGTCGATTGGGGGGGGGGGGGGAAGGGAAAAACCGGGCCCCCGCATTTAAATTCGCGTTCGCGAAGCAGAGAGACGTTACGGTAGCTGAGTGGGTAACGGATGTCTACGTAGGGCCACCACCACCGCCACGAGTGGGCTGTGTTTTTTTTTGCATTGAGCCCGTAGGTTCGATTGGTTCGCCACCTGTCCCGATTTTCGCAGGATCACAATAAATGTTTTTGGGCTTAGATCGCGTCAGTATAAATGTGTCGTGACCCTCCACCACCCGACACAGCCAGTAAGGTTTGCCACAGTAAAGAACGTGTCAATTAATTGCTACTTCAGCCCACCGGTGTGTTGGAGAGTAAATCCACAACATTTACAATTTGAGTAGTACGACGTTTCGCTGGTAATTACATCAACCAGCATCATCGGGCGATTTGCCAGAAAAGTGAAGCCATCCACCTGCTTCCGGTCATTAATACTTACGCGATCTAGCCCACAAACCTTTATTATGAATAATATTTGTCGCGAAAGCCTACGTGTTAAATTTCCCAGGATCGTTCTCCCTTTTCGAGGGGTTAGACGTTCCTGGGGAATTTTTTTTTTGCAATTCTCTCCGTGGCGTTAAAAGTCCTGTTTCTTGACCAGTGCGCAATAATAATAACAACACACCACTCAGGACAATTAATTTACGTGTTGTCCACGCTTGCGGTAAAGTGAGGTCCTCTTCTTCCTCGCGTGCTCTGCCCCAGTTCGTGAGTACCTCAGAGGTGGCAACCCTTGCCCAATGTGTGCAAGAAATACAATACCCCCCCACCCCCATTCAATACCCCCTCCTCTTTATGGCCCAGCTTTTAAAACACAAATAAATACAATATGCGTATTTGTTATTTTCACACCTGTTTCAAGTATTGCATTGTGCACATAAGTTGAATATAAATATCCATCTACCCAGTGGCTTCACTCGGGTTGGTGTCACCCAGTGCGGTAACTCCTCATGGTGTCACCCCTCATGGACCTCCACCCGTACCACACCATACAGAATCCTTAGTAATGTTTTTTTGTACTAATTTTACTCGTAAATCGTATGTCACTGAACGTAATGGCAATAGTAGTGACATAAACAACTAGCAAAATTTTAATTACACCTTTAAATTACAATATTTCCCTTAATTACTACTTCATTCACAAAAAAAGTTATTGACATAGGTTCACAAATACTCATTACCACAATATTGTAGCTAAAACACCAGAAAATGTGACAAAATCAGCGACTACAGAAACACGAGCAGCAACGAAAACAACAGCACGTGCTTGCAGCGCGTGCAGACGAAACCACGTGACTCGAAGCGTCACTGCAGTTGGGTAACAGTGACAGCTCTGACCGGAGTACCATTAGAAGGTTAAAAAAGTAAGTTAGCATAGAGTTTTATCCTTGTAGGTATATCGATACAGTACATGTAAGCTGGGCTTACGAAAAATGTTTTTTTTTGTTATAACTAACTACAGGGATATTTTTTCTTGTAAAAAAAATAATAAATTTCTGCTGAACCACTGCACAAAAATTGTATAGAGAGTCATTTTAGTGTCACCCCCTCTGATGGTGTCACGCGGTGCGGTCCGCACCCCCGCCCTCCCGTAAGTAGTAGCGCCTCTGCATCTACCTAATAATTATTCTGGCTAAACATCCGTTTGCTCCAAACACACACTGCAGCGTTCAACGTGTGATCTTTACCCAAGCCTGTGTGTGCCGAATTAGCATGGCGTGCACAAACAAAAACCCTTCCCGCACGCCTGCGCATCAACATCGCCGATTCGAAACGTTTTACAAAAGTCTCAAAACACGAAATGAGAGAGCTCCCCTCAGTAGAAACGACGAAGTGTTTTTGTGTATATATAATGTTATACATATAAATCTTCCAACAATTTCCCAGGGGATTGTGGGAAATGGCTTTGCTGAGGACGGCACCAGGTTAGCTCCGGAGGAGAACTGGCCGAGTGGCACTTACTCTGAAGCGCTCGGTGAAATAAAAAAGTCTGGTGCAAGACCGCCAAACTGAGCGCGGCGAAAATCCAATAAGCCGGGAGATCCATAAACGCCCAAGCGACACATATTTTACTCGAGCGCGAGGTCCGCCTTAGCAGAAGGGCGATGTTCTCCCCGCAAAGTCTCCACGTCACCCAGGAGCGTACGGGGCAGCGGCGGGCGGTAAGCGACGCCAGCGGGTCTTCATTTCCCCGCAGAACATTTCCCAGGTTCGCTGGGAGACTGACGGAGCAGGCACCGTGACTCGTAGCAACAGCCATGGCCAGAGCCACGGCGGATGTGGTGTGCTGTTCGCAAGAATATTTGCCGTCTCGCTGGTGAACTGGCATCGGTGGCATGTCTGCAGTGTCTGCGTGTATGTTGAGCTTCTTTCGCACCGCGCGCGTAGCCAACCGCGCTAATCGGAGGTGCGGGAAAAGCAGCCTCAGTCTCGGCGAGGAGCGCACTGGACGCGTCGTGTGGCAGGCGCGGAGTCAATATTGTCCAGTCGATATTAAATGTGTCGTTAAATCCGCCACCACCCGACACAGCTAATTAGTGAGGTTTAGTCACGTAAACAAAGTGCGCCAATTAGTTACTAGTTCAGCGCACCGGTGTATTGGAGAGTAAACCGACAACATTTACAATTCGAGCACTCTCCAACACACCACCGGTGTGCTGAACTAGTGACGAATTGTCATGTTCTGTTAACGTAACAAGCCTTACGAATTGGTTGTGCCGGGTGGTGGCGGGTTTAACGACACATTGTTGTTCACGCGATATAACTCCCCCTATATCATGGATAATGTTTCCGCGAAAGCCCTGCTACTGCGTATTAAACTGATAGTGTCCAGGTTGGCGACCCGGTCAGAGCCGGCTGAAAATCAACCGCCCCCCCCCCCCCCCCCCATGGGGGGCGAGAGAGGTGAGTTGGTTGGGGGGGCGGGGGGTCACGCTTCCACGAGGTCGGGGGGCGGGGGGATGAGGTCACGGAGGTTGAGGCGCGCCACCAGGCACGTGTCGTAGTCGTTGTGCATGAGAACGTCGCGCGCCACCACCGTCCAGCAGCCGCCATCCCAGGGGTCAAACTCCAGGATGTCCTTCTGGATGACCTCGTGTCGGTCTGCGGCGGAGAGTCATTGCGATGCATCGCAGGGGTCATCGCAGGGGTCATCGCAGGGGTCATCGCAGGGGTCATCGCAGCCGTGGCCGTCGTTGGCGTCATTGTCACCTGGGTCGTTGTTATAGCTCAACAAAGTGGCTTATCGCCATAATTGTCATCATCATTATCAACCATTATGATTGTCATTATCATCATTATCAATCATTATGATTGCCATTATCATCATTATCAATCATTGTTATTGTTATAATCATTATCAATCATGATGATTGCCATTGTCATCACACGACATTTATAATATCCTCCCTGTGCCACGATGCTGCTCATGCATGGAACGGTGTTGCTTGTGTCTTGCATTTCAAATCTGTTCCCTCCTGGTCCATTTAAAATCTAAATTTGCAATTTAAATCACGGTCTGGACCATGCAAATGTAAGTGCTTTTAAACATTGGCCTGTCATTATAAATCCATATATTATTGACATTTCAAAATGTATTTAACCTTTGTTGTGTTTTCCCTTCATTGATTAAGCTGTTTTGGGTTTTATGTTTTAGCTGCAATGTTGCCATTATTATAGCGTCATCGTTTGTCCACGTGCCATGTATATTTGTACGACTCTGGTCTCACGTTCATGATGCGCCAGATCTCTCTTGTAAACAAAAAAACAACAGACTCATCCTGAATGGGGCTCTCGCACGTTTCACAAATAAAGAACCGGTAACGAAACGCCACGACCGTCATCACGTCCTTGACCTCTCGAGAGAGCCGAGAGTCCATTGATGCTCACGGTCGTTTGCACCGAGCGAGAACCGAGTTAGAAACGAGCGCACCACGGAAGCGGATAACAAATTGTGGTGGCGGGAAGGGGGGGGGAGGAATTGCAATGCCAAACGAGGCAGGCACGGAATGCCGTTGAATTATTAAATATCGCGGGGGCACCGCGGTGGTTGAGACGTTCACTCCCTCGCCTGGTACAGAGGAGGTTTGTGCGTTCGATGACGCCCGCTTTGTATATTTTTTGAGTTTCCGTGTCTCCCTCCACGTGGTCCCCGGGGATTTTTCTCCGGGGTCCTCCGGTTTTTTTTCCCCCTCCTCGTTTAGAATCAACGTCAAGCGCATCGAGCATGTGGCTGTGCTATAGATGTCCACACGACGGTAAGCCATTGCGTTGGGCTATCATTTGTGGTCGGGTCGCTTCTGAAAACAAGAGCCATATAGCTCAATGGGCCTTAACTGGTAAAATAAAATAAAAAAATAGTTTCGTTTTTAAGTTCAGAAACGAGCACAGCACGGAACTGGATATGAAAATGTGGAAATAGCATTGCAGTGCCGAACGAGGCACACATGGGGAATTATCGGCACGAGACATTTATGTGCCGCTAAATAATTGAATACGCAGAGGAGTGGTGGCAACAGGGGTGTGAGCGCTACGCTATTATCCCAGTGAACTGAGTTTGATTCCCGGCTCCGGCTAACATCAGTGATGAGTGACATGTGAACCGATCCTGGGCTCCCCCCATCCCAACCTACCCATCCACACACCCACACACCCACACACCCGCCACTCACCACCACTGCACTTACCCACTTCACCAACCGGCACGAACCAACGTGGTGAAGTGTGGTCAAATAACACCCACGCCAGCGTGCAGCCGGTGGATTGACAACAGGGCTGTACACGTGTGTGGGTAAGGCGTAACACGATTTGGCAGAGGCACTCAAGTGTAGGCAGCTGCCACAACACGAGCGGTGAGCTGGCGCTGCGCTGGAACGGGCAAGGAAGCAGACTCGATGACTAAACGGGCCAACCTGTTCAGGTGTTCACCAGACCTGCCGTGCATTCTTAGCTCAAGGAATTGGGAGGCATTCCCCATACAAATGCATTGGGCGCCACGGTGGCGAGATGTTAACTACCTCGCATGGTGTACAGGAGATTGTGGGTTCGATCCCAACCCTGACGCCTGGTGTATATTTGGAGTTTGCGTGTTCTCCGCGTGGTCGTGTGGATTTTTCTCTGGGTCCTCCTGTTTTCCCCTCCACATTTAGAAACGTGCGTTGAGAGCATTCAGCTGCTATACATTGCCACGTGATGAGCCACTTCGTTGAGCGATCATTTGTGGCCAGGCCGCGTCTGAAAATGAGCTACATAGCTTAGTGAACCTAACCTGGTAAAATAAAAAAAAAATTGTTTAGTTTTAGTTTAAACACGCTGGAGAACTTGAGTCTCCATTATGGGTTTCCACATTCTATATATATATTTTCTTTATGTTCATTGCTTTTGTCAATTTTGGTGACACAGCTCACTCTTGCAAACCACTCTGCCCGTCCTGGTCTCTCTTGAGTCCTCACCGGGTTCAACACAATCGACTTAAAAACTGGCCTCGTCTGCCCAGGATCGTCCTCTTTACTCTTTTTTTTTAAAGACAGCTGTCTTGAGAAATCTGTACGTCTTACCGGGACATCAAAAGCCCCCCGGGTTTTATTTTTGTCAGTAGCGTAACAACACACCGCTCAAGACAATCCATTTGCCCATGTTTCTCCCATATTCCGGTATCGTGAGATATTCATTTCCTACCCCAAGATTGTTCCAACATTTTCAGGTTACAACCGCAAGCCCTCCGTGGCCACCGCGCCTTGCTCCAGATGGCCGTCATTGGAGACACCGAGCCCCGGGGCTCAAACCCGGGAACTCCGGGGCGGGGGAGGCTATCCGAGGTGGTCGATTGTCATGACCTGGACACTATCTTCAGGTACCACGCAGCCCTTTTGTGCCTGGTGATTTAACGTCGTGTTTTAGCAGTGGGGGGGGGGGAGGGGCGGGGGTAAATGAGAGCAATCGATCACGCGCCGCCGCTGTCGCCGCAGAAGTAAACACTTTGTGCGCTGACCTTTGAGTTTGGACGTCCCGCTTAAACAAAAGAAAAAAGAGCTTAATTATATTTTTGATTAACCGGGAGACCTAATTATCTTGACTTCACTGAACTGTAAGAAGCAGCGATTGCCTTAGCGGCGAAATCATCAGCGAGCGCGGATGTCCTTGACTCTCGTGCGAGCGCCGACCCCCATACACAAACAACATCGTTAACAGCGAGCCGGACGAGATTTTTCTCCTGCGTCAGCAGTTCTCCTGCCGTGTTTGTCTCACCTGATGACGGTTGCTTGTGTTGCGATCGAAAAGTCGCGATCTATTAATTTTCTATCTTGCGTGACTTTACCGAAAGAACCAAAGAGTGTGGATTCCTGCAGTCATGAAAGCTTCAAATAGAGATATTTTACTGTTTGTGCATTAGTGGCGTTAATTAAGACTGCGTTCATTCAAATTGCAACACTCGGGCGTAACGTGCTCGCTGGAGGCCCGAGCACGTGCCGTCCTCAGTGGAGGTGGCACACTCCTTGGTGGTTTGAATCGCGGTATCAGAATGCTCTTCCGATTGGAAGGTGCACACAATAGCCCCTTGAGATCAACAGAATTACCGTGCGATTTAAAGCCCTATTGCCAGTCTACTCCTGGACGAGGGCCTCCCCGCGCCGTGCACGTAATGGAGGTTAAATGACCATACTTCACCGTGCTGGGCAGTGCGGATTGGTGACAACAGGGAGCGCGGGCGAGAGAGTATCGTGCACCACAATCATGGATTTTTCTGAACTGCTGTCTACAGCATCGCCCCCGCAGCCTCCAACACCTCCACCATCTCAGAACTGTCGAGGCTCAACGACTGCTGAGCTTCGGATATCTGACAAGATCAGCCACATTCCGGCACGTGGACTGATCTGCATCAGTTCCATCTCCGTGGCAGACGTCCTCTGGAGGCGTCGTCACCCCCCGCCCCCCCACCACCAAAGACAAAGATGCCCCGTGTAGCCTTAACAAACTGTTGGGGCAAGTGCTGTTCGCGAGCACATTTAAAGGCCGGCACGGCACACGAGCGGGTTGGGTGGCCAACATCACGCCCGGCCGCCTTTGTCTCACCAGTGACGATGTTTACACATCGCACCAGGTACTAATTTGAGGATGAGTCGACCTAGGAGAGGCCCAGGACCGGTTCAGAAAATCGTCACCGGTGTTGGCCGCGAGCGGGAATCAAACTCGGGACGCCGTAGCGCAAACCGCTTACACAACCGCTCCCCACCACCTGCCCACCACCACCTGCCCACCACCGCCTGCCACCACCACCTGCCCACCATCACCTGCCCACCACCACCTGCCCACCACCACCTGCCCACACACAACTAGTGAGCCGTGCAACTCATACAGCAGTGTGCAGCTCCCCCCCCCCAACATCCACCCCGCTCGCTACCACCGCCACACGCATCCGTGATCGCGAGACCCGAAAACCTTGGTGGGGAGGTGGTGAATCGGACCCCTGGGGAACGACCCCGACGCGGGAGCCCCAGCACCCCCCCCCCCCACCCTCTAGGGCCAGCGGCTCGCACCGGGGGAGTTGAATCCACCGCACACGAAGACGCGGCCGTTGACGGCGACGGCGTTGGAGGCGTTGCTGCGGAGCGAGAGGAGCGGGGAGGGAAGCGGGGGTCCGTCCCTCCAGAAGTCGCCGTCGGGGCTGTAGATCTCGAGCGAGTCGAGGCAGCGCCGTGTCTGGCCCCGGTCCGGTCCCTTGCAACCGATGCCGCCTGCGTTCAGAGCAAACCCCCGATTAGAGAGAGAGGGAGACTCTCGTTTAGACTTGGGGGGGGAGGGGGCGGTGGGTATGGAGGGGGGGGGGGGCACGCCACACAAGACAAAGATCACCCCCGTGTAGTCTTAACAGACTTTTGCGGCAAGTGCCATTAGCGAGCAGCAGCACCTATGAAGGCCGGCACGGCACTTTGAAGGGGTGGTCTTTGATTTTCTATGCTGGACATCAGTGAGAAAAAAATGTATAGCTCATAGGATTCCTCCAGTATTAATATATATCCTGATTCTGGGTGGCCAGCACCACGCCGACTGCTCTTATCTCCCTCGTGGCAATGCTTACCGCACCGCACCACGCCAGGTACTCATTTGAGGCGACCTAATAGTGGCCCTTGACCGACTCAGATATTTGTCACTGATGTTGGCGATGAGCGGGAATCGAACTCCGGTCGCCGGGTTCGTAGCGCAGCGCTCCCCAGTGTCACACAAACATGAGCGCTAACGTCGAGGTCTTCCAGCTTGGAGAGGACTTCATGAGTTCAGGGGAGAGAGAGAGTTGGTGTAGTTTGGATATTCCTCCTCCGTTGACGGGAGTGCAGCCCACAGTGGTTTGTCTTTGATTGTTATAATTATCATCGCTGCGTTGGTGCCACCATTACACAGCGACCTGCACGGCGGAGTGACTGGACGATTTATTGTTTTGTAACACAGGCTTCTAACGTGTCAGACAACCTCAGGGCACACCGCCTACGGATGTATCTACAAAACAAGTGAAGTAAAAGATGGACGGTCTCTTATTTATGGATTAGCACGGTTGGCTACGTACGGTGGGAAAGAAGTTCAGTATAACATGCGTACGCACAATACGAAGCAAGATAATTCACAGGCTATTAAAGAGACACACCAATACAAACCTAGTGGATGCAATTCCGTAGTTGTAGTCATAACAATAGCGGTGAGCGGTGGTGCATATATTTGATAAATATTGTCAATATTTATTTTTTATTGTTTAATGATAGCGGTCATTGTATGCACAGGCTGGCCTTGTCATGAGAACGTGGAATTTCCACCACCGTCATGGCCGAGAGTGCAGCCTTACTGCTCTGTTGCTAAGTTGCGTTCACGGCTGACAATGTATTTACGATACTTTAAGACCTTCTTCTATAATCTATATATTTAAACAAAGTTAAAATAATACATCGAATTTCAACAGAGACTTGTTTTTTTTTGACAGCCGGGAAAGGATCGAGCAGAATGAACGAAGTGACGTCAAAGGGTTGGTGGCATTGTAATCGCAGGCCATGATGTGACCTCACACGCCCTCACCTCAGTGCCGGATTATCCTCGTGGCAAAAGTAGCTGCATATGTAGTAGCTACTACTACTACAAATGTAGTAACTACTACTACAAATGTAGTAGCTACTACTACTACAAATGTAGTAGCTACGGCTACCACAAATGTAGTAGCTACTACTACTACAAATGTAGTAGTAGTAGCTACTACTACTGTAGTACTACTACTGTAGTAGTAGCTACATTTGTAGCTACTACTACAGATGTAGTAGTAGCTACTACTACTACATATGTAGTAGTAGTAGCTACGGGCCCCGCATTTTCAAGGGCCCCGTCCTAAACGCTTTCAATCTATCAATTCCGGTTCAGTGATTCTGCACTTGCTCTATTACTAGAGTACTATACTGCCTTCAACTTTTATGAACGACTGGGTGTTTAAGGTTAGCGATTTGTCGTATCATCTGGCTGTATAGCAAATGAAAAAATACGATTACTTTACTATGCAAGTAAAAAAATGTGTTTTAATGTTTACGTGTTTTTTTTTATTTAGGGCCCCTTTATAACATCATATGCTACAGGCCCCGCACTAACTTAATCCGTCACTGCTTCACCTCCGCGGAGTGTGGGCATTTGGACGAATGTGCGGTCCACCGGTGCAGCATAACACAGCGGTCCTCATACAGCAGTCTGACGGTGTCGCTGTTGCCCATGAAGTGAGCTGCGGACAGACGCCCCATCAGAAGTTGCACTTCGATTCAGCAGCTGCTTTCCCGTTGGAACGTGGCGGTGGTGACACCACCCCGAGTCTATAATCTTTTGATGTCACCGTCCGCCGAGGAGTTATTCCGGAAATGAATCGAGGCACCGTCCGACCAAGTCGAGGGCACGAGGAGTCAAATGTTGCCTTTAGAACACGGAGCAGCCGAGCGTGGTCACGGCTGGGTGCTGCCATTCGGCGACAGACTGTGACCCTTCGTGTTCAGCCGGCTCGTGGGAACGTCTTCCGACCGCTTACGACATCACGAGAACTGATTTTGACTCACCACCACCACCACCACCCCGCAACATTTTCTGACCCGGGGGTGGTGGGGGGGTTGAGAATCGCGGAAAAACAAATAATTTTCGCGATATTTGTTGTGAAATTACCGCGCGCCACCGGTGTGCCGCCATAACGTTGGCTTAGACGCGCCGTGCGAACACCAAACACGAACCTTTGTTGTCCCGGTATAAAAGCCCCTAATTGACGTGTTTACGTGTTGCGGTGATTTATGAGCCAGGGGCTGTGGGATGAGGCGGTTCGTGTTTAATCTTCCTGGGGTACCCCACCCCCCACCACCACCCCCCCACACTACCCCCCCCACACCCCCCCCAACACCACCCCCTCTCTTGCAGCTCTCGGAGAGTTGAGGGGGGGGAGTGTAAATTGGGGGGGGGGGAGAGAATGGGGGGGGGGGGCGTACTAAGCTTCATTGCTGCGTTTTCATGTTTTTTTTTTTCAAACGCCACCCACTCATCAAACGCCCGTTTGTCAGAAAATCGGGCACACAATGCTGCACTGATTACGAGCTGCGACGGGGCCGTTAACCCCTGGTGCCGGCAAACGCCGCCACAGATTCAGCGCCAACGTCTCGTTCGCCGTGGTGGTGTGGGTTTCGAGTGTGCAGGCGGTGAAACTGCACCGGATCACAGTGGGCCCAGGCTACAAAGGGGGGAGGGGGCGGGGGGAGGCAGGGAGGCCCTGCAATATCCGACCACGTCCGTTTAATGCTCCCCGAGCTGCATTGGCTTCGGGTTGTGCCGAACGAACACATTCTAAGGTGGCACTCATCACACACACAAAGTGCTTGCCGCAAGTGAACCACAATACCTCGCTGATTTCGTCAAGGAGCACAAACCATCAGCACGCGACACTCCGGACTCCGGTTGTCATCCTCGCAGCGGCGGCTTTTGGGTGGCCGTCGAACACAGACGGTCACCGCATCGCGCGGCGCTTTCAGGTGCGCTTCTGCGGCCGTCTGGAACGCTCTTCCCACACCGATATTAGAGAACCAGCGGAGCTATGCGCTCTTCAATCTAGATTGAAAACCCACTTCTTTGACAACTGCTTTTTGCATTCAGTTTGCTTGTCTTCCCCTGCACCTCCGGTCAGCGCGGTCGGCTACGTACGGTGCGAAAGAAGTTCAACACGCATTTCGTTGTTCGCACAAAAAGGACCATGGCAGACCACGCTGCAAGCGGTCACCGTGGTTCCTGCGGCAAGGTCCCGTGTGGCACAGCGTCGCGACGAAGCGAGTGCAGCGGTAAACGCGGAGGATGCGGCTCAACCGCAAGTGCCCTTCACGCGAAGGCATCGAACGGCGAGTGATGTCTGAACCCATCCGTGCCACCCCTCCCCCGCCGTCGCCCCCCCCCCTCCACCCCCTCCTCAATGACCCACGCTGGTCAGCATGGTGAAATGTGGCGAAAGAACCACAGTGCCGGGCCGAGGCGTTCGACCAGCAGTGGATTGAGCTGTGCACGATGACATGAGCGCAGCTGGTTCGCCGAGTGACGGAGTGCACCATCTGCCGCCGTAGCAAAATTATCGTGGCTGAGTCGCCTACTTAAAAGGGTGGGGGGAGGTGGGGGGGAGTTATGTTTCATTGTTGCCGGCCACCGCTTTTGAGAATTCGTTGCGCATTGAATTCCAGGTCTGCTACCACGTTTGAACGATCACGCAACTTCGACCGATCGATGAAATATGACATGAGCCACAACCGCCGAGTCCGGTCGAATGTTCGCGCAGATGCAGGGTGAACGACAGCGCGGCGCTCTAATCGTGCACACACACACGCACACACACGCATGCACACGCAAGCACACGCACATGCACACAAAGATAAAACAGATCCCCTATATAGCCTTAACAGACTGTAGGGGCAAGTGCTGTTAGCGAGTACCTATGAAGGCCGGTAACGGTACACGAGGGGGTGGGTGGCCAGCACCACGCCCGACCGCCTTTGTCTCCCTAGTGGCAATGTTTACACACCGCACCAGGTACTCATTTGAGGCGGAGTCGACGTAGGGGAGGCCCGGGACCGGTTAAGATAATCGTCACTGGTGTTGGCCGTGAGCGGGAATCGAACCCGAGTCGCCAGGTTCATAGCGCAGCGCGCTAACCGCTACACTATCGCTCCCCACACGCACACACACACACAAACACACGCGCGTACGCACACGCACACACACGCCCGCAGGCTCCTGCAATCAAAGCGCTCCTCTTGTTTGACTTTGTATCGCGCAGCAAAACGCGTTGGAGTCATTGCGCCGACGGAAATAGAGCGCGCGGCGGCTAATGAGTTCAGTCGAGCAGCCACCCCCCCCCCAGGCTCGGATGCCGCTCTCGCGCTTTGAAAGAGGGGGGGGGGGTTCCTACGGAGTTGTAACGGCGTCTACCATCACCTCGAGTTAACGACAACCCGGCAGAAGCTTCAAGCGCCTAGTCCGTGCCTGATCGCCCCGCAACCGCGAACCAACTTGTCGCTGACGGCGCGCCTGCCGGTGAGCTTCGTCGGCAGTGCTCGTGCGACGGGGCACATGACTTGCAGGGACAGTTTGGAACAGAGCAGACGAATCCTAGTTCGTGCAGGTGCACAGTATGGCAAGCGTCCGCGTGGCACCACAGTTGTGTGGTGAGCGCGTGGCAGCTAGGCTGCACAACCAACGCGAGGGCCTGTCGGCAGCGCTGGTGGCTGAAGCACGCTTGTGGTGCGCGCGTTTGGGTTGGTCGGCATTTTAGGGTCAAATCTGTAAATGACGAGAAACAGCGATCACAGTGGAGTGTAATCGTCGTGCGGGCTCGAAAAGCCGGCCGTGTCACGACAACGGCGCGGCTCATTCGAAATGCGTTTTTTGCAAGTGTTTGTTGTTCTTTTGCGCGTGTCGTTTTCGCGTGTCGCTGCTTGCAACTTACGGCACCTTGGGGATCAACCGTGGACAGCCGAAATGTCAGTCGCACCCAAAAACGTGCCCCGATAATCACCCCAGTATAGGCTAATGATGTTTTACTAAACTATTTTTTTCCAGCTTTAGCTTAACACCTTTGGATTACTTTAAAAAAAAAACACGCACAAATAAAACAAAACGACCCAAGCGTGCGTTCATTGGTAGCAACATTCGATGCAGTACCCCCAGAGCTCATCGCGAACGAACTCGCGGCTCTGGGTCACTTCCCCGTGCTGCGTCCGCCTGTGCGTGCGACGTGACCGCACCGTTTGTGTGCGGTTTAGCTTCCTTTCGCCCTGGAAAATGTCCCGCGTACACCGCGCGGCTCACGCACGCGCGCGCACGCTCGCACGCCGAGCTCACACCGCATGCCGCGCAAATTCTTTCCGGCTGCGCGTCGCTGCCGCGGAACGGAGGCTCCGAGTCGCCCCCATTCATCAGTGTCCAACTGTCACGGGGAAAGCGGCACACCAATGCATCATATCGGATTTTCACTCTCAGAAGTTGGCTATTTAGCAAAAAAAAAAATGCAACTGATTTTCCGGTCGGTTTAGCAGCAATTTTCCAACAGTTATATCCAGCGGTGTTAGGAGGTGCATTTAATTGCGCGGTTGAAGCTTAGGCTTGGAGGGGGGGGGGTGGAAGGGGGGGGGCATAAGCGGGGTCTTCCTTTGATGGGAATTTAAGCACTAGGATAGGCGATGCGAGACTGGAATTGCAGGACGAACGCCACTGGGGTATTAAGGACAGCCAAGGGCTCGGCATCCCAAGCGTTTGAAACCATGGGATGGTCATATAAACTGATCAGGACTCGGCAGATCAAATGGTAAATTAATTGTGGCCTGGTGGTTCAAGGGGGTCAAGATCTCTTGGGCCGAAACCACTGAGATCCTGGGCTCGAATGCGGGTTTCATCCGCCCGAGAATCAACCGTATTCTGAAATGTGATTGTATGTATATAATTTAAAGGGTTTCTTTTTTCAATGCCACATCGTTTCGCAGAGATATACTGCGCATGTAAAATAAATGTAACAAATCACCCGCAAGATCCAGCCGTGTTCGAATCCAGGCTGCCACCTGTGATTAACTTAATTATTTGAGCGTAGCAAGTTCATGGTCTCAGCCACGGTGAACAATGTACAACAACGATCACATTTTTATTTGGGGTTTTCACCTAATTCGACAAAACACTGCTGCACGGGGGATCTTTGTGCATGCGTACGTGCGTGTGCAATACTGCACACGCACTGCGGGGAGCGGTGGTGCTACGGTTAGCACGTCGCACGACGAACCCGGCGACGTGGGTTAGATTCCCGGCTCACGGTCAACCACCAGTTACGATATTCCGAAACGGCTCTGGGCCTCCCCTCGGTCGACTCAGCCTCAAGTGAGTACCCCCAGCACGGTGCGTAAAAATCACCACTGGGGGAGACAAAGGTGGCCGGGCGCGGTATTGACCGCACGCCCTCGACGTGTGCTGCGGCGATCTTTATTGGGCACAAGCTCGCTAACGGCACTTGCCCCCCACAGCCCGTGACAAGGTCACACGGGGCAGGAGGAGAGGTGACCTTCGCCGGCGCAGCACTTGCCCATGACGTAGATTTCGCCGTTGAGGGCGGCGCAGCCGAAGCGGTAGCGGGAGAAGCGCATGGGCGCCAGCTCCTGCCAGCGGTCGCGCTCCGAGTCGTAGCGGAAGGCGCGGTTGCTCAGCCGCTCCAGCTCCTCGTCCGGGCGCTCCAGCTGCGGGCGATAAATTCAAACAAACGCCACCCCTACCCCCCCCCCCCACCCTGGATCCCACCGTGTGGTGTCTGGGCGTCGCCGACTCTCGAGGTGGCGACAAGCGAGGGGCGTGCCGCGTGGGGTCGGGGGGAAGCCCTGCGACGAGCCGATGGCACGACGCTGCTGGCCCTTTGGTGGACATTCCATGTTGACACTGCCAGAGGGGGCATCCTCTTTGTGTCACCGGCCGAGCGTTAACTCAGGGTGGGCTGAGTTCACGCTCGGCCACAATTTGAACTCGCAAACTTCGGAGAAAAAAGTTTCACGGACGACTCTGCGTACCTAATTAGGTTTTTTTTTTATCCTCACACGAGAAATAATGAATTTCGGTGGAGTTAATGACGCTCGACGGGATCCCATTTCGGGACATTATCTCCTCTGCGTTAAAAAATCTGTGTCACCACCACAATAATGGCATTAATTAATCCTCCCGATATTTCCCGGAGATGATCTGTTATTGCACACCACTCCGATGTCTCGGTGTCTTCATTTCCCCCTTTTCCCTACAACCCCTCGTACCTGTGCCTCCAAGTCCTTGCTTGACCTCACCATCATTCTAAGGAATAATCCAGTGACGTTATTATTTATCGAGGAAAACCCTTTCTGAAACTCGTGAATTTTATCGTCACGGCCTTGCATGAGAATGTTTGGCCCAATCTAGGAAAGCCTGAGAGGGGGGAGGGGGTCCCGCATAAATGAGTGAATTGACACTGATGTTACCCTTATACCTGCGGTGTCCATCCTCCCATCACGTAGATGTAACTGCCGACCGTAAGGGCCACGTGTGAGGCCAGCATGACAGGCAGCGGAGAAACACTGCGCCACTGCTGCGTCATCCCTCCTCCTCCTCCGTCACCTCCTCCCGACGAAGGGAGGGGCAGCCGCTCTGCGGCGTTGGTGACGAGGTAGCGCTGCTTCTCCTGCACCTGGCCGCCCAGCAGGTAGAGGTGACCGCGCGCCGCCGCCAGCGCGTACAGCTCGCGGTACGGCGCCGAGCACACGTGCTCCCAGCTCGACGCACGGTACCTGTCGCAGCCACAGTCACGCGCGGCCGTCGTGTCTCGCAGGTGCTCGGTGTGGACCCGTCATGAGTCCTTCCTCCATGCTCAATCCTCTCCCCCGCCGAACTCATCCCTCGCTTCCTGTCTAGCAACAGCCGCCATCCGCCACTAAGTGACGGTGATGTCCCCTGTGCCAGGCTCAGCTGACAAGAGGTCACGGGACAGAACCAGGTGGTGCCATGGGTTGACCGACTGAGATGACTGGGCAGATGTACCACCAGCTGTGCCCACTCACCCACCCACTCTCCTCCATCACCACCAACCCCACCACGCCCTCACCTCCTCCTCCTCACCACCACCACCACCCCACCATCCCAGCCCACTCGTCCATACCCTCACCTCACGAACTCGACGCCGGCGGGAGGCGCTCCCCTCCCGCGGCGCGCCGCCTTGGTGAAGCCGGCCTCCCCGGCGAGGACGATGTCGTTGTCGGCCGTGACGACGCCGGCCCGAACGGCCGCCAGGGCCTCCCCCTGACGCGGGCAGACCACGTAGCACGCGCGACGCAGCGCCGGCGCGTAGCAGAAGCACGCGTCGGCGTAGCCCGGGCGTCGCGACCGCACGCCACGTGCGTCGGTGCCGGCGCACACGATCACGTCCGACGTCTCCATGCCGTAGCGGAGGCCGGCGCCGGGGGTCACGGCGACGGTGGCTCGGCTCGAGTCGACCGACTCCAGGGCCACGGACACCATGTGGCTGCAAGCGGCGTCGCTCACGAGCACCGTGCTCCTCTGAGCACGCGACCGGGACAGAGAGTTCCATTTGTGAGCCTTGGCGTCTGGCGAGTACAACTAACAAAACAATCCATCAAGCAGGAACTCAAAATCGTGGTGGGGGGGGGAGGGATAATAATGCACGGAAGTGTTGAAAATTCGTCGTACGTGCAGTATATTTCTGTAAAACACCGTTACACACGCGTGCTAGTCACGATGAGTAGTCGAGCTATCGGGGGTGTTTTATGAGCGTGGGTTTGTCGCCTGTAGTAGGCACACTTTATTAGACTCCGTCTGGTAGCACAGCAGCAGTGGTGGTTTAACAAGGCCTCACTTCTGCTGACGAGACACAGAAGAATTGAAACCAGTCCAGAGATTGCCTGCTTGTTTAAGCAAATGCTGCTGCTGCTGCGGCTGCAGCTGCTGCTGCTGCTGCGGCTGCTGCTGCTGCTGCGGCTGCGGCTGCTGCGGCTGCTGGACAGCGCGTAACCGCCGCACGCCGCTCGACGCATCCTCACCAAAGTTGACCTCGCGCCTTCCGATGAGCCACTTCGAGCAGATTCATCTCAGCGACAATGTGCGCTTAACACGGACCGTAGATCTCCCATTGATAAGCAATAATAATAATTATAATTTACATCTGTAAGACGCGTTTCATCCGTAGATCCCGATGTGCCGCCGTGTTTGGAAAGCAGGAAATGAACACAGAGTCTGCAGGGTAAACGGACAGAACTCGGGCACGGAGGCCAGTTTAAAGCAATGACTGCCCGAACCTTGCCGTAGTGCATCATGGCCTGAAAGTGTCACAATCGTCCGGCATGCCGGTGTGTCTGCACGGATGTACGGTCGTTGAAACACCCGCCGCAATGGCACTTCCATCGTCATCGTCGTCGTCATCGTCTTAATCGTCATCACCATCATCATCATCATGACGGTCATCATCATCTTCGTTATCATCATCTTAATCGTCATCATCATTGTCATCGTCGTCGTCATCGTCATCATCATCGTCGTCGTCATCATGGTCGTCATCATCGTGGTCGTCATCATCGTTCTCGCAAGCATCGACGTCACCCGGGGGACGTCGTCACCTTGAGGCTCTCGCTGAGGCAGTCCGGGCTGACGAGCGTGAGCCGCACGCGTGCGAGCAGCCGCGCCAAGTGCGGGGCGCGAGCCCTGCGGTCCCAGCGTGCCCAGCGCAGCACCACGTCCAGCACGGGGTCCTCGCGCGACACGTTCAGCTCGTCCGACGAGATCAGCGCCTCCAGCTGATCCGCGCTGACCTGCGGATAACGGGGGAGAGGGGCTGTCCATAAATGACGTCACGCACCTAGGGGAGGGTGGGGGTGGGGGGAGTCAGACATTTGTGACGATGTGTGACGAGGGGGGCGGGGGGGGGGGGTGAGAAATGTGACGTCACATTAAAATGCGCAACTTTAAATAAATATAGACAACACGTTCTACTTCATTAAATAGACTTTTTTAATAAATGTTTTCTCCTACAACATCAGAGTGCAGCGCCACATTAAATACGCACTACAATGACAATAGTTTAAAGCGAATTGAAGCATGTTTTTTTTGGGGGGGGAGGGGGGGGGCAGAGCTTTGTGACGTCATATTTGAGGTGGGGGGGGTCTGACTTTTTGTGACGCCGTGTGACGAGGGGGGGGGGGTCAAAAATCGTCCAAAATCGCGTGACGTCATTTATGGACGGCCCCAAAAAGGGGGAGTCGTGAGAAATGTGAATTGAAGCGAGGAGGACGACCGAAGAGGCCCCTATGTAGACATGGATCTGCCCCCCACCTCATTGCACTCCTACTCCCTACTCGCTCCCCTTCGCTGGAACCAACTCCCACTGAAGCACGCGAAAGCAACCATCTTCGGTGACCTGCACGAGGCAACGACGGGCGAAACGTCACCGTGCTCGCGTCGTGACGGACTTGCGCGTTGTGTTCAGGTGACTCAACCTTACTGATCGGCCGCGTCGGGTGGTGGCGGCTTTGACGACACATTTCTATTCGCCGGACTAAATGTGTCCACGCCTGGCACACGACGTGTCCAGTGCGCATCTCGCCCATGGCCTAGGCTGCGTTCCCCCCCCCACCCCCCGCACCTGCGATTAGCCCCGTTGGCTACGTACGGTGCGAAAGAAGTTCAACACACACACACACACGTGCGTGCGCGCGCCACCTATTCCAGTTCATATTTGCGCGATCTGACCCATCAACAACAACAACAACAAAAGGGAGGAGGAGGAGGAGGGGAACCAACGGTACGCGCGCTCGCTCGCTCGCTCGCGTACCTCGAGGATCTCGTCGTGCAGGCAGACCTCGGCGAAGTGTCGGCGCAGGAAGTCGTGCGCCGCGTCCGCCAGCTGCTCGGCGCCGATCTGGCGCGCGAACGCGTGCAGGCCCACGCAGTTGGACGCCTCCATGTTGTCGAGCATGTGGCGGGAGCACGCGGCGAAGACGCCGTCCATTTGGAGCAGGAACGCGCCCGTCGCCACGCTCTGCGCTCGCACACAACCACCCCCACCCCACCCCCCGGCACGAACGCACGTATCGCAAGAGTGCGTGCGTACGTGCGTGTGCCTTTGTGGGTCGAACGTGCCGGCCTTCATAGGTGCTGCTCGCCAACGGCACTTGCCCCCAAAGGTCTGTTAAGGCTACACGGGGGATCTTTGTCTTTGTTGAACTTGGCGAGCGGTAGGCGCAAATGAGTACCTGGTGCGGTGTGCGAACATCGAAACTGGGAGAGACAAAGGCGGCCGGGCACGGTGCTGGCCACCCACCCCCTCGTGTGCCATGCAGCACTTGCCCCCAGGTCTGTCTCCCTTGCAATAGCTCTCCATAGTCTGAAGGAACTCTATTTAGGCTTCAAAATAAATAAGTCTTACGTGGTATGCCACTTGATATATCGTGGGGCATTGTTTGTCCGCTATGTATGTTGTTGAACTTCTTTCGCGCCGTACGTAACCAACCGTGCTAATCGGAGGTGCAGGGGAAGGACAACTAAACACACAAAGCAGTTTCCAAAGAAACGAGTTTTTAATCTAGATATAAAAGTGCATAGCTCCAGTGGCTTCCTAATTTCTCGAAGGAAGAGCGTTCCAGACGGCCGCAGAAGCGTGTGTGAAAGCGCGCGATGCGGCGACCGAATTTGTTCGATGGTCAGCCAAAAGCCGCCGCTGCTGCGAGGATGACAACCGGAGTTCGCGTGATGGCTTATGCTGCTTGACAAGATCAGTGAGGCATCGTGGTTCATTTGTGCCTCCCCCCGCCACTCCCCGCAACGAAACGTCCCATCCGAGTTTCAACGTCAGGCCGCGACTGTTTAAGCCTCCCGATGAACTGGACATCTGTGGGGACTACTGAACATCTGTGATTATTTTTTTTACTTCATAATAGCGCATGGGATTCCTCGGGCCTTAATAGAGATTCTAATTCCGAGCAACAAATCTGGAGAAGGCTTCGCCGAGACTCTCATCGCTCGCTCACGGCTCGCCGGCGTTTTAGACATCTCGGGCCGGATCCTCGTGGGATGGGGCATGGCTGGGGAGAAGTTTTGATCCGAGTGGATTGGCATCAAAGTGAATCGTGGTTGCGACCAGGGCATGTACAGCACCTTTCGCCAATCTGCTGCTGGGTTGAGGGACTCCCTCCGAACCGTGCGGGTCGTCGGGGTGTTATTGACCGTACTACACCGCGCTGTCAGTGCGGGTCGGAGGCAGACAGCACCGACGCCGTTTTTCCCACTGCAAGAGCCGAGCCGGGCCGGGCCACCGCCGACGACGCCCCGCCGAACGAACGCCGCCGGAGACGGTCGCACGCGGCACCGTGGCGCCGCGGCGTCCTCACGGCGCACCGACCGCCGACCGGCGTCACACGCGGTCGAACGCCTCTCTCGCAAAACCTGCCCCCTGGCCCTGCTTGGCCCCACAGACGGCTCCGGTACCGGCTCGGCACGGCAAACGGCCAGTGGGGGGGGGGGGGGACACACCCTGCACCGCGAGGACCCCCGCGTTGACTAGGCCGGGAAGTGCCAACGGAACAGGGGGGTGTCGGAGCGCTGGGGGGCCCGAGGGGGGGGTGATGGTGGTGTTGGGGCAGGGGGCGTGCCACTCGCCTGCACGTTTGCGTTGCAGAGTGGCAGGCGGGCCGTGTACATGTAGTCGAGCAGCACGGCGAGGCTGTCGGGCGCCAGGTCGTGGAGCCGCACCTCGCGGCGCACGCACTCCGCCAGACCGCAGGTGAACATGGCGCGGAAGTAGGGGCTGAAGGCGGCCAGCACGGCGCGGTGGCACGGGAAGGAGGCTGCGCCCGCCAGCAGCTCCACGTCGGTGAGCTCGCGCGCGTCCCTCAGCCGCGCCAGCTGCTCGAGCAGGTACTGGCCGTGCTTGGAGCGGCACCCGTCGCTCGCCTCCGACCCGGGCACCTCCGGCCGGGGCTCGCGATGCACTCCCGACTGGGCCATGCCAAAACCTCGGGGAGAAAGAAGCCCTGCGCTTCAGCGGTTGGGGTGGGGACGCGGGGTCGGGTGGTGGAGGGTTTAACGACGCATTTATATTTGCGCGATCTAACCCGGAAAAAAAAACACATTTATTAAGTACCACTTTGTCCGATGTCAACAGAGGTTTTGCTATGTGTAGACACCACGCCTGCCACAGTAACGTGGAATTTTCATCGTGGATCGCATCGCTATGCTCATTTGAGAATGGAAAGGACGGTGGTGGCACACGCCTGTAATCCAGCACTGTGGAGGCCAGGGTTGGTGGATCACCACGCAGATTTTACGAAACTCCGTTCCCGTTGGGCGTCGACGTGCCATACCCTGGCATGCCAGCAGTCGACGTAACAGCAAATGTGGACTACTCTCTACCTAGGATAGAGTGTTACCCCCTCGCACACGTGCGGTTTTCTCCGGGTGCTCCGGTTTCCTCTCACATGCATATAAACACTCACTATTAATCTACTAATACATTTTTTTTAATGTGAACATAAAAACAAACGATGCAGAACTCTCCTGAAAAAGAGTGCTTGGACTCGGTGTGGCTTCCTGGGTAAATAAAAAAAATCATGTCGTAGTAGTATTATTATTAAACTGCTTTGAAACAATTTTGGAAACACATGTGATTCTCACGTGGCCATAGCAGTTTTATGTGGCCACTTGGCAGAGCCCGGGGCGAGCTGAAGTTCTCCGCGTAGGAGAGAATAGGGGAGGGGTGAGTAGGTGACTGGACGGTTATACTCGGGCTGGGTAATGTGATACGCAACAGCCAATGCTAAAAATAAATTCTACATGCACTGGGGCAGCTTGCTGTAACATTAAACCATCACGAGATCAGCCAGAGACAGCTAGCCTTCATGCAGGCCACACACACACACAACGCAACTTCAACTTAAAAAAAACAACGCAATACAAAACGGCGATCGAATTACATCGATTAACATAATCATCTGTTCGTTACCCGGCCTGGTAAAGAAAGTGGGCACGCAAATGAAAAATAATGAACACTTTTCTGTCTGCGGCTCCGTACATACGGCGTGGCAGGGATGGGTTTCTTGTTCAGAACAGCGCCGGTTACGATTTTGCTGGCTCGGAAATGGTTCGGAACGCTCAAACTCAAAACGCTTTAAAAACATTTATATCAGTATAAGAATCATCATCCACCGCGTGAAAGGAGCTCAAGGACACAATCACACGAGCCCCGTAAACAACTGTGATCCAAAAAAGCAGCGTGGCAGCGTGTAACATTCGGGAAAGCAGCAATGCACAAAGACAAAGATCCCCCTGGTGTAGCCCTGACAAACTTTCGGGGCAAGTGCTGTGAGCGAGCAGCACCTATGAAGGCCGGAACGGCACGCGGAGCGGGGTGGGTGGCCAGCACCACGCCCGGCCGTCTTTGTCTCTCCGCCCCCCGTGGCGCACAGAATACACATCACCACAACCACCACCAGTACGAATCTCCCGACTTCCGTACCTTGGGGACAGAATAACAATCGAGATTTGCAGCTTTCGTGACGCCAGGAATCAATATTCTTTGGTTCTTTCGGTAAAGTCACGTAGCTTTATTTTCTTGCGTAATTTTTCTCATGCCGTAGTTGTCCCACCCGATGACGATTGCTTGTGTGGCGATGGAAACGTCGTGATTTATTTTATTGTATTCCTACCTCACGTGACTTCACCGAAAAGAACCAAAGAGGACAGAATAATAACAACATCGACGCTGTGGACTATGAAGCGTCGCGTGTCCACGGCACCCGCATTGGGGCCCCTACCTCTTCGTCCCTCCTGGCGCAGCGGTGTTGCTGAGTCCTTGCGCCTCGCAGCGCACGCGGCGAGTGGCGTCCGTAGGACGTTTTCGTTCTCGCGCGAGAAAATAAAAAAACACCGTGGGCATACACGCGCAGACAACACCACCCACCCACCCCCAGGGTGTCAGATCAGCGAGGTTGGCATGAGGCTACGAACAGGGCGCGTGCCATCTGTTTTCGCATTCGCATTGCTGTTGCGTTGACCAACACCGGATACACACTAAGATTCCCCGCCGTGTAAGTCTTTACAGACTGCTGGGGGTGAGTGCCGTTAGCGAGCACCTATGAAGGCCGGCGCGGCACATGAGGGGGTGGGTGGCCAGCACCACGCCCGGCCGCCTTTGTATCCCTAGTGGCGATGTTTACCAGGTACTCATTCGAATCTGGGTCGACCTAGGGGAGGCACAGGAACGCTTCAAATGTTCGCCACTGATATTGGTCGTGAGCAGGAATCGAACTTGGGTTGACGGATTCACTCCTTCCCCAAAGACAAAGATCCCCCGTGTAGCCTCAACAGACTGTAGGGGCAAGTGCTGTTAGCGAGCATCTATGAAGGCCGGCACGGCACACGAGGGGGTTGGGTGGCCAACACCACGCCCGGCCGCCTTTGTATCCCTAGTGGCGATGTTTACACACGGCACTAGGTGCTCATGTTAGGCTGAGTAGACCTAAGGGAGGCCCACGACCGGTTCAGACAATCTGCCGCTCCCCACACTCACCTACCCAATGGCATCGACCTATAAGTTGTAGGATTTTTTTATATTTTAATTGGAGTCTCATCATCATGCACCTGGTAAACGGAAGAGCTGATAATTAAGCAGCGCCCCCCAGGCTAGACTGCTCAGATTATCGGATCAAAGGTGAAATGTTGTCATGAATGTAACCCCATTCGCCAATAAACTACACGCATATCGTACGTTGCAACCGGCGTAGCGATCTCTGGACAGATCTCCAGAACATCACACGAAATACGAAAACTACTTCTGTGCATAGCATACCTCCTACAACATCGCGGGTAGCTGCTGCTAATGCATTGTGTGGCTAAAACCATCAACATACATTGTAACGGCACAGTGTCCTCTAATACAACATACCAATCGGATATACAGCATCACAAACTGTACATCACACGTGCAGTATAACGCCAGTCCTCCCCAGCCGCTCAGCCAGCCCCTGAAAACAATCACTCTAGGTCCTCGGTCAGTGGCGGATAAACTGAACTATATACTATATTTTTTTTTATTTTACCAGGTAAAGCCCAATGAGCTCTTTTTTTCAGAAACGACTTGGATGCAAATGATAGCCCAATGAAATAAGCAAAATACTCTAAATGCATATTTCTAAATGTGGAGGGGAAAACCAGATGATCCGGAGAAAAATGCACGTGGGGATAGAGAACACGCAAACTCCAAATATACAGCAGGCATCGTCAGTGTCGGGATCGAACACACGGCCACCTGTTTGCCAGGCGAGGTAGTTAACATCTGGCTAGCGCGGATACAACAGGAGGACGGATGATTAGAGCAATCGCTACCCCATTGAGACCATGGAAATTCGTACGTTATTGATTTTTACCAGAGAAAATACGTGAATGTAAAAAAACCTCATTTAAAAGGCTTGACATTTCTGGACCGTCCTTGGGAAGTTTTAAGATCCTCCTCTGCTCTAAATGGTTGCCATAGTTTTAAGGATGTAGCATCGATTCATAAATTAAAGTCGATTCTTTCACCCACGATGCATGCGTCCAATAGAGCTGGCAAGAATCAATGACTTTCAATCCGTGTGTGGTGTGTGTAGAATACGTTGCTTGATTCACGTAAGCCCTGCAGCCACTTGAACATGCTACATTCACCCCCCCCCCCCCCCCCAGAATTTATTGGCAGGGGCGTGGAGTGGTTAGAAAATTGTTGCATTTACAACAGTTGCCTGCGCCGTTTGATTTCCAAAACAAACACATTCATGAATTCCCAAAAAAGGGATTCAGTCTGTGGAATGACACCTGACAGTGATGGTGGGGATGGTAAAGTGGAGGACGGACGTGATATAAATTCACGCACAAGAGGCATTGTATTTTAAAATATTTATGACCACCCTTTTCATTTAATATGGGAACATGCCATGTATTTTGAATCACATTTGAGGGTTGACTTGGTGGGGCAAGATGGCCATCTACAGGATTGCTATTTTACATTTATTCACTTGTTTCCTTTTAAATTACTTTCCTTTGTAATGTGTCCCCAAATGTAACCCCATTGTCCCATGGGCATGACGCCATGAGATTAAATATCCTTTTGGATGTCTCGTAGGGTAGTGCAACTCTTTCCTCTTAGAGAACGGCCCACAGAAGTGGGTATCACAGAGCAATCTCTGAAATCCCTTCAAATGACCTCTGGTACACACAGTAAGGATCAGCACTCTGCCACCCACACTGCCACATGAGAGTCAATACTTCTCACATGACAGTCAAACCGATCGTGGTAATTCTCAGAGATTAAATTTTATCCGTACTAATCCATAACCAAATTTAACGCGGCTATTTTATTGTGCAGTGACTGGTAACGTTGCTTGGACTATCACCAATTCACGACGCTTGAGAACCAGATTTTAATCACAAGTCGATGCCAAGCTTTTCATCCCAGAATCTCAGCGTTGCTTGCTCAGCACGCCGATCTCTAGCTCTTATCTGCCCAGCCACCCCATTTTCACCACGGTATAGGAGGTGACCAGGTGGTTCATCGGGCTGATGTTGTGTCAGAGACACCAAGCAGACAAACGCTTAGATTCTGGGTTTGAATGCTGCAAGTTTCAGCCATCCATTATTATATTGTGTGAGCAGGTGTCGGGAATTTACGGTCTCAGCTTGGTTAACGATGAATGCACACAACACCAAATACTATTTATGTATTTTTTTACTTTATTTGGCATATGATGGCCCCTTAAAAATGATTTTATTGTTTTTATTGACTTGCCAAAGTGATAATATTGTTTGTTCTTACTCTTCATACGGAATAAGGATAAAGAGACTTGACCTTAAAAGTAGCTACGTGACGTCGTCGACCAGGACTGTTCTCTGACACAAGGTGGTTCCAAATGTCCGATGACGTGACACCAATAACACAAATTGAAATGCAAATGTGGATGAGTAACAGAAAAAGCTCAACTGCTCAAGTATTTTGTAATGCGAAAGGCAACCATGTTGCCTTGCCTGTTAAAGTTGCATTATTGGTGCGGGTGGGTGGACCGTGTGGAGATGGTAGCCACGCCGTGCAGGAGACATCTCGCTGCAGAACAATGAGTGGTGTAGGAGGCAGTGCAGAGAGTCGGTTGATGCTTGTGGAGGTATTTTCGTATTCTTCCATACATAAAATATGTTTTTTTTTAATGGCCAGATGCCCTCAGTAAGGACCTACGACAAAATGGTTTGAGATGCGGTGAAGATATCCCTGTAAATAAAAAGAAATGTCATTGATCATTAAGAAAATAAAATATCTGGAGGGCAAGACTAACATGGGAGTGCCATAGGAGTGTGGAATTTCCATCATTTATATAAAAGTGCCGCCATCAAATATGTCGGTGGGCCGACGTGGAGATGGAATTTAAATTGCTATTCATGGAAATAAAAACATTCGTTTAAAAAGCGAGGATACTGGGGCACCCCGTTACTGAATTAGTCCGGTATTCAAGGCCACCCGTCATTGTGTTTCACATGAGGCTTATAGCAATGGAGAGAACTTTAGGTTGAGACTTCCATGTGAGTGAACTTAATAACCACCCAGACTGCCATTTGTAGGGGCTCGCATCTTTTCTCAGATTTGTGTTATTTTGCATTATTCTCGTATACAGTAATTAATTATATTTGCGCCAACATTCAAGGCTCTCTGGTCCTCATTATCGAACATTAGTCTTCAATTTAAAGTATTTGGCTGCTATGAATTCCCACACGATAAGCCACTGCGTTGAGCTATCATTTGTGGGCAGGTCTCTTCTCAAAAAAAAGCTATATAGCTCAGTGGGGCCCTACCTGGTAAAATAAAAAAATATATATATTCAGTTCGTTTAATATCGCCCAACTGGTCACGGCCATCTGTTGTTACTAGATCACCCTGATACACACGCCGAGAACTCGTGCCGCCACGATATGTTACACCGGATATGAAAACGCAACGTTCAAAAGCAAGTATTTCAGAGCGGAATGTCGCCCCGGTTGTAGGTAACGGGGGAGGAGGGGGGGGGGGGCATGTGATTGAGATTGATTCTTCAGATTGGTGTCATGACGTGGATAATAAAGAATGATGTTGCTTTGTAAATGCGCGCTCGGGGGGCGGAGGGAAATGTCACCGACCCCCTTCCCACAGAGGCATCCCCCTCCAGGGGAACAGGACCCCCTCCCCCACCTCCCCGCCCCGCTTTGTTGAATTCCTATCCCTCCTTGAATTCACTATTTTTATTTACTCGTGCTAATATTTCCAATTCCTTCGCCCAAAACCTGGAGGCATTGTAGCTCCGGCAGAAGGGAGAGAGAGAGAGTGTGGAGGTGCGGGAGGAGGAGGAGGACAGGGAGAGGCAGGAGGAGAGAGAGAGAGGCGACGGGGAGCGCTATAAGTGGCGCGCTCCAAGTGTAGTGCCAAACAGAAGCCGGCGGTCAGAGAGCCGGGAGCGCACCAGAGAGAGAGAGGAGAGAGAGGAGAGACACCAAGGGCGATCTCGGGACGCTGTCTTCGTGCCGGAGAGAGCGTGCCGCCCCGAGAGTGTATGCGTGTGTGTCCGTGTGTTGGACTTCTTTCGCACCGTACGTAGCCAACCGTGCCAGGGAGATGATGTCTCCGGGCGAGGCTTGGGAGGACGTTCCGGAGCCGTTCATCACCAATGGGGACGGACTGCGGCTGCACTGCCACTACTGGGAGCCCGACCTGGGGCAAGGGGGCGAACTTAGGTGAGTGGCTCCGTCGCCTCCATCCGTACATTGTCTCATTTCCTTTGTGGATATCGTTCAGGAGGTATCGATACCGTGGGGAGGGAGTCTTATCCAGCAAGTAGGTGCAGAGGTCACAAGGCGCGAACCCACCAGATGGAAGGTACGCGAGTTTGAGTCTCAGCCGGTGCGGTTGACTCGGCCCATCATCATCACCATCATCACCATCATCACTATAATCATCACCATCATCACCATCATCACCATCATCACCATCATTATCACCATCATCATCACTATCATCATCACAATCATCACAATCATCACCACCATCATTACTATCATCACCATCATCACCATCATCACCACCATCATCATCACCATCATCACCATCATCACCATCATCATCACCATCATCACCATCATCACCATCATCATCACCACCATCATCATCACCATCATCATCACGCCCGGGGTAACGACCCGGTCATTGAGTATCGCTCTGCTGGGTAGGCGAGTGTGATCGCTCAATGGATATTTGCGCCATTGCCATAGGCATTGTGGAATATTTCACTCCCGCTTCTGCAGCTGTGAATGGGAGTCGCGGCGCTAAAACAAAACCAAACTCCACTTGGATTCCTTTGTGTTCTATGACCAGAGTATGAGAAATGGCAAAGATATAGTTACCGTTGTGTGTGTTGCAGTGAATGGTTTGGTTGCCTTTATTTTCTCCCCTTGTCAAACACCACTGCAATATAAAAATGCTCCAAATATGTCACTGTAATTTTGAACATTTATTACACGTAATCGTGTGAATTATATTACTACATATTTGGTGTGAAATCAGGACCTACGCTGGTACGAATACGAGTCTCACTCGACTCTCACCTGGTCATGAAGAAAACATCACCCGTCTAACTACCTCCACAAGAGAACTCTGGTCAACAAACTGCACTCACAATGATGAGAACTATTTACCCAACACAGCCTCGCCGAGCCTGTTAAAGTCTACACAGAAGTGGGGCGGGGGGGGGGTGCCTGTGGTGCATGGAGCGTGATGCTCCGCATGGAGCGTGAGGCTCCGCATGGAGCGTGAGGCTCCGCATGGAGCGTGAGGCTCCGCATGGAGCGTGAGGCTCCGCGCTGTGTGGCTCTGCACTGTGAGGCTCCGCACGGTGCGTGAGGCTCTACACGGAGTGTGATGTTCTGCACGGAGTGTGATATTCTGCACGGTGCGTGATGTTCTGCACGGTGCGTGAGGCTCTGAACTGTGAGGCTCTGCACGGAGAGTGATGTTCTGCACGGAGTGTGATGTTCTGCACGATGCGTGATGTTCTGCACGGTGCGTGAGGCTCCGCACGGTGTTTGCCTCTCGGCGGTAACGCTAAGCGGAGTTGACGTGGGGGGTGGGGGGTGCAGATGAATGTGAACCACAGCTCCCCACGTGAATGTCACGGGTGAACGCATTGTCTCACCCTCTATGCGATGAAAATGTGCAGGAAGTGAGGCGTACCCCGTGGGACGTTAGCGATTTGTTTAGGCTCACAGCAAGACGCAGCGGTGTGGGAGCAATGGGGCATTGTGTATATGGCGTGTGCAATGCGGTTAAGGTTCGGTTATCTGGGGGGTTGCAGGTTAACCGCGCTCGCGAAAATAAAAGATGAAAAACATTTGAAGTTCGTTATTCCATCACGAGGGATGAGTTTCGGATATGAACATTTTTTTCTTGATTTTGGATTTTTTTTTCAAATGACAATTTTTTTTATTTCCCGTTTGTGTTAATGTACAACGCGTCTTTGTGTTAACATTAGTGACGTCGCCTCATGCCGCGCCACGTTTGGCGGGAGAAGCAGGGAACTGAGGTAACGCACGGAAGTGAGGGAAATGCAATTAATGTAATTTACAATTTCGTCATTTTTGGGGGGGAATCAATTCGACACAAACACTTTTTGTTTGTCTCGGATCATCCTTAATGTCATATTTCATCCCGATTTTCGGATTACTTTGATCAATACTTAAATAAGGGATACATCCCCATCCCAGACTCATTCCTGCCTTGTTACATTATCATTTGCCCCGAACTTGAGGCACGCTGGCGGATTAATTGAGGAGTCTGTTCAAGGAGTCGATACCTCCTACGTCTTCACGCCCGTTACAAATCGTAGCTTGCATCTGTTTTGCTTTGGCTGTGTTTCTTTAATTTTTTTTATCCGGGCCGGGCCCCTCTGCTGCACCGGTGACCCCCGCATTAGTCCAGAGACGACCCCACCACCGATGAGCGGCGGCAGGGCTCTTTGCTCGTTGACTTTTTAGTTTTGAACGTCCTCAACTCCGCGAGAGACGAACTTGCTGGGTTCAATGGTGACGGCGATTGTGCAGTATTTGTCAGCGTTTGCGCGAAACTTCCAGCGATTTAGAAACGTGAGGCTGACCCCGTTCGATGCGTGGAAAGCAATCACCCTTGCAGGCAATGAATTTGGGATACAAATGGGAATATATTCATTTTAACACGTAGGCTTTCGTGACCAATGTTATTCATGCTCAAAGTTTTTGGGTTAGATCGATCTAACCCCAAAAAAACCTTTATTATGTGAATATATTCGTTGTATTTTTCTGATGATAAGCGTAGACTGGACGGTGTTTATGCCAAACGTCTGCTTTTTTTATCCCCCCTTCTAGAAAATCATAAATATTTACTTCGAACTTAATCGTCTAAATTATTAGATAGCCACGTTACATAATCTGTGTACATCTGCAGATACAACAGAGATGCAATGATTCGCCCAAGAGTTCATTTGTTTGTACGCAAACATTGCGGTGAATGTAGCAGCGACTCGTGGCTGTAAGGAGTCACGTGAACTCGTGAGAGGCCGTTCAACATATATGAATCGAACAGCATCGATTCATACATAAATTGATGTATGTTTCGTGCAATCACAAATCCATAATAATGTTGTAATCATGACGCTCTCTTAGACACACGCGGCCACACATCAATATGCCCCCATGCTCCATCGATCATCGGGTAGTGGCTATCTACCCCCCATCAGTTCTGAGCTCGATGATGGAAATTCTACATTGTTATCGTAAGGAACCACTCCAATAGGTGACATGACAGGAACTGGCCAAACAAACCCAGAGCAGGACCCGACAAAAATAAGTCAGTACGGGTTTGAAATAAAACATTTACAGGAGTGATCATCCGTTATAATGATCGAATAAGTGAAATTAGACGGGCAGCTCGAACTGCGTGCTTGACATTTTGTCAACACGTTTCTCAAATTCGTAAGGGTTTTGTTGTTGTTGTTGTCGTCGTTGAGGTTTCAACCAAACAAGATCGATCTTCAGCAGCAGCAGCATCACAGAAGCATCTTGAAACAATCGCAGCCTCGAGATGCTGGTGGAACCAACTGGGGCACCGTCTTCAAAACCTCGACAGGGCGACGACTGTCGCCCATGTCGTCGTTTTTAGGTGGACGAGACTTGTGCGAGATAACATGCGTCCAGTTTTAGTGGTGGGCGGGGAGGGGGGTGTTGGTGAGCGATGCAGTGGTTAGCGCACTGCGCCGTGAACCCGCTGTGCCGAGTTGGATTCCCCGCTCAGGGCCAACATCTGAACCGGTCTACGGCATTCCCGAGCTCGACTCAGCCTTAAACGAAGCGCAGACATCGCCACTGGAGAGACAAAGGCGGCCGGCCGGGCGTGGTGCTGGCCACCCACCCCCTCGTGCGCAGTGCCGGCCTTCATAGGCGCTCGCTAACAGCACTTGGCATTCCGTAGGGGGGGTGGGGGGGTTATTTATCTTTGTAGTTGTATTGACCTCGCTGATAATGTCTTTCGTAATGGATGATACAATTTTTGGACACCCTGCGGTGTTATTAATCTTAGATGTTTACATATATAAGATAGTGTGTCATCATCAACACAGGCGGTAATACGCACGTGGTGTACACGGTCGTTCTGTTCAATGCTTGGGGCTGCTTCATAAATCGTTTGGCTCGTGTGTGTAGTTTGTGTATCGTGCGCGCGTGATGATGCACTGCATGTAGCTGCGATGTCCAACAGATGCTGTACGAACAGATGAGCGGGAGACGTCCGTCGATAGCCCCTCACTGGGTGCTGAGACCAGTTCGTATCAATCTGAGTTTTTGATTCTGCAGTAGCCTGCCGTTCACTGATCACGCTAAGTGTCTCTTAACCTTCTGCATTCACCAGGGTCTAAAATATAAATGCTGCTAATTAAGAGCGCGGCTTATGCATTGAGTCAGAAGATTAATATAAAAAAAAAATTGTAAGCTCACGAAACTTGCATCGAATTTTGCTTGGAGAGATCGATGTGGGGGTTTACATTTTTTTTGGCTCGTATTAAGTTGCGTGTGGTAAGGTTCGCGTGACCCCTGCGGCTGCCGCCAGAGGCGCTGTCATTCACCGCAATGTTAAACACGGAACACATTCTTAATCATTTGGTTCTTTCGGAAAAGTCACGTAGATAGAAACAAAAAAATAGAAAAATTAAACTAAAAAGCAAAAACCTCCTGAAGACGATCGCTTGTGTTGTGATCGAAACGTCGTGGTTTTTGCATTTTATTTTTCTAATTTTATTATTTTACCGACAGAACCAAAGCATGTCTAAATTATAGACTGCCAGTACGCTCACTCAGTTTAATAACCATTGCTACAGTCTACATTAAAGACTGCCAATACGCTCACTAAGCTTAAAAACCAGGCTACAGTCTACATTACAGCCTGCCAGTACACTCACCGAGGTTAACAACCAGGCTACAGTCTACATTAGTGGTTTTATTCGCTTTATTTTTATTATAATTTTTCTATCTACGTGACTTTACCGAAAGAACCAAAGAATATGAATTCCTGCAGTCACAAAAGTTTTAAGTCAAATTTTTAAACATTCTTAAATTGAGAAGCGACCCCGTATTGCAGAAATTTGTTGACTCATCAGACGGGTAATTTGTTCCACCCCAACTATACAGAAATTTCAATTTAAAATTACAACGAAACA